CCCTGCAGGGTTTTTCTCCGTCCCTACAGGGGTTTCTTTCCTGCCCTGCGGAGGTTTCTTTTCTGCCCTGCCAGGGTTCCTTTTCCACCCTGCGCAGGCACCCGGGTTCTCCCTGTGCAGGGTTCTTCTTCCACCCTGTGCAGGGTTCCTTTTCCACCCTGTGCAGGGTTCTTTGCCACCCTGTGCAGGATTCCTTTTTCACCCTGTGCAGGATTCCTTTTCCACCCTGTGCCCTGTGCAGGGTTCTTTTTCCACCCTGTGCAGGGTTCCTTGTCCACCCTGCGCAGGCACCCTGTGCATTTTCTGCCCTGGGGTTTCTTTCCTGCCCTGCAGGGGTATCCTTTCCATCCTGAGGAAGGTCCTCGTCGAACTGCAGGAGTCACTTCTTGATGCTACGAGGGTTTCCTTTCTGCCCTGTGTGTTTCCTTCCCACCCTCAAGGGGTTTTCTTTTCTGCTCTGCAAGTCTTTTTTGCCCTGCAGGGGTTTCTTTTCCTGCCCTGCAGGGTTTCTTTCCTGCCCTGCTGGGGTTTCTTTTCTGCCCTGCAGAGGTTTCTTTCCTGCCCTGCTGGGGTTTCTTTTCTGCCCTGCAAAGGTTTCTTTCCTGCCCTGCGGGGTTTGTTTTCTGCCCTGCAGGGGATTCTTTCCTGCCCTGCAGGGTTTTTCTCCTGCCCTACAGGGGTTTCTTTCCTGCCCTGCAGGGTTTCTTTCCTTCCCTGCGGAGGTTTCTTGCCCGCCCTCCAGGGGTTTGCCTTTTGCCCCGTAGGGGTTTGTTTTCTGCCCGTTTCCAGTCCACCCTGACCAAGGTCCGCGTCGCACTACCGGAATCCTTGAATAGTCAGGATCGTATCTATGTGGGGTTGCTCACTTGAACTCCAAGATCACACGTGGGTCGTGCAGTGGAACCATGGTGTAATTGAAGCCTTTCACTTCTCTTGGAGATGCCGTTGGGCTTTCGACATAGGCGACCTCCTGTCAGGGTGATGTTCATGTTCTCCGCCAGTCCTTACATAGACAAACCAACGTCAGAACTAACCTATAGCATCCTATAGCCTTAGCTATAAATAGATTTTGAATATCAGAGCCTATAGCAGCCTAAAGCCTATAGCTATAAGCTTTGAAAACAAGAGCCTTTTTTTTGACAGTAGGACCGTGGACTTTGAGGGCACACTAGATGGAAATGTCTAGGTCTTGACTTTAGGTCCAGTGTCCAGCTGTCGCCGCAATGGAGCACAAGGGACGTCTGCAGGGTTAGGGCTGTGGGGCCACCGGCAAGGCACCTCTGGACGGCTGTCGGCTATTTGCTTGACGATAGGGGTAGTGCATCAGATACTGGCAAAGCACCTCTGCGTACGGGGGGTTCCATAGCAGACAGTCACTCCGTCGACCATGTCACGGCCTCTCTGTGAGCAGGATGATTGACCCAGGGGTAAGGCGGCTGAGCCACTGGCAGGGCACCTCTGCGTAGTGGGGGACAAAGCACCTCTGCGTACTGGGGCTCCGTAACACGATAGCTAACGCAGGAGATATGGACAGGTAGGGCTGTTGAGCCACTGGCCAGGCACGCTACGCAGCAAGGTTTTGGACGCGGTATACCGGGGGGATCCGTGACACGGTAGCTACCTACTCAGACACGTTTTCACGTGCAATTGGCACCTCTGCGTAGTGTGGTTTTTGCTAGACCTATAAGGGTAGGGCTGCGGAGCCACTGGCAAGGCGCCTGCGTATACTGAGATGTTTTTGGATGGGATAGTCACTGCAGGGGTTAGGGCTGTTGACCATTTTATAGGCCTCTGTGAGACACGTCAATGTGCGGGTGTTGGGTCACGGTCACGCGCATCGCTGTATGCGGCTCCATGACGCATCTTGCGCGACCAGATATATAGACGCCGCCAGACGGAGAACATGTCAGACAGTGAGTGAAAACACGAGAGCCACATGAATGACACCGTGGGAACTTGAAGACAGAGGTTTGTGCACGGCAGTGCGTTTGTGGCTCAAGGTTTTGTGAGACAGCAAGATTTTTGTCAGGTCGCTGGCTCTTGCCGCCTTTCTTTGCCCAATGTGGAAAAGAACAAGCCCTGCACAGGGTAGAAAAAGAACCCTGCACAGGGTGCCTGCACCCGTGTGGAAAAAGAGCCCTGCGCAGGAAAAACAGGGCAGAAAAAGAACCCTGCACAGGGAGAACCCTGCGCCGGGTGCCTGCGCAGTGTGGAAAACGAAGCCTGCGCAGGCGGAAAAAGAACCCTGCGCAGGGTGGAAAAGGAACCCTGCACAGGGTGGAAAAAGAACCCTGCGCAGGGTGGAAAAAGAACCCTGCACAGGGCGGAACAAGAACCCTGCACAGGGTGGAAAAGGATCCCTGCGCAGAGTGGAAAAGGAACCCCGAAAAGGACTCCTGCACAGGGTGGAAAAGGAACCCTGCACAGGGAGAACCCTGCACCGGGTGCCTGCACAGTGTGGAAAACGAAGCCTGCGCAGGTGGAAAAAGAAACCTGCGCAGGGTGGAAAAGGAACCCTGCACAGGGTGGAAAAAGAACCGTGCACAGGGTGGAAAAAGAACCCTGCACAGGGTGGAAAAAGAACCCTGCACAGGGTGGAAAAGGATCC